GGACCTGGCCTCCACAGCGTGCACACCAAGGTCCCGGGTCTGTCTGCCTCTGCTGCTCTGCCCCCATGAGTGATCTCGGGCAGCCAAGGTACTGATCATCTGGTTCAGCTCGGGTGGAGTCTTAGTGAGAATATCCCCTCCCGGGCATAGAGACTCGATCACCCTCTGGCTGTCTGGAGTGAGGGCGCTGTAGAAGTTCCCCACTGTGAATGCATCACTGAAGCCATGATGGGGGCACTTCCAGAAATATCCCATGTACCGCTCCCATGCATCACGAAGGGACTCATCTGGCTCTTGGCGGAAGTGAGTGATCTCCCGCTGAATCTCTGTGGTCTTCGATTCCGGATAGTACCTGTGCACGAACTTGTCAGCCAGATCGTCCCAAGAGGTGATGGACAGTGGGGGCTGGGTCTCCAACCACCTCTTAGCATTCCCCGCCAGAGAATGGGGGAAGAGGTGAAGGCGGATTGCGTCATCCGGAACGCCGTTCAGCTTGAACCCGTTTGTCAGCTGCAGAAAACGGGAAAGATGTGCCCGGGCAACCTCATCCTTCAAGCCATGGAACTGGATAGAGGATGTGATGAGTTGAATCCAGCATGGCTTGATCTCGAAGTTGTTTGCAGGGATGGGCGGATAGAGGATGACCGGGCGGATGTCAGCAATCCGTGGAGTATAGTAGTACTCCAAAGTGGGACCCGGTGGTGGTGGATGATGATGGGCCCCAGCTCCCTGGGGATTTGGGTCGTTCCCCAGGACCTGGTTCTGAGGTGGTGGGTTCTGATCGCCTTCCATCTCGTACTCGTACTCGGATTCGCTGCTCAATTGGCCGTCTCTGCGCTCTTCCGTAGCCAGTCTAGCTCGCTGTTGTCTCCTAAGTTGGCGGCTGGTGCGTTCAATCTCTGGATCCAACGGCAGTAAACCTCCCAACTGGCTACGGGTCATGCACTATCTGCACACAATCAAGCAATGCAAACCCGTGAAGACACAAGTGGGAAAGAAGAAACGCTCAATGCGAAAATGAAAATGCTAAAGTAACAAAAATCACTTTTCTTCAACAACCTAGCCGTCCCCGGCAACGGCGCCAAAAACTTGACTCACTCCTACTGTCACTCTAGAAAATGGCCAAGTGTAACCACTTCCTAAAGCGTAGTATAGCGGGTTTGGGTTTTATTGTCAACCCGGGTCCTAGATGTGATGACTACTCGGTGAATTCTCGTTATCTAGCAGTGAACTTTTAGTGCAAACTCAAGCAAACAAAAACACAAGGCAAGTAAACGGTTGTTGTCAAGTCAAGAGAGGTCACCCGGATATGGTTCCCCCTAGACTGCAGTTTAGTCGGATTGCAATTTACCAAGTTCAGTTTTCATGAAAGTTATACTGCGGAAGGTTCTTAATTAGCCTGAAGTCTCGACTAAAGGTCTCCAGACCCTCTCAATCTGAGCCTCTAGCGGGCGACTAACCTCCACCGGAGTAAACAGATTGAGGCCCTAACGAGCCAAACCTCCACTACCGAATGGAATTCGGTACATAATAGCGAATTGGCTCCTCGACTAAAGCCACCAATTCGCTACCTTCGATTAAGGATACTCTATACAACTAGGCAGATATTCTCATTCTAGGTCAAAGCAGAAACAACAGGAATTTGATCAGGATTCAAGTCATTCAATCATTCAAACCTCAATCGAATATAATCAATTCACAAACTCTGTACTTGGGTTCATACAATCAGACCTAGCATACAAATCTAGGGTTCCCCATACCCAGATGAATGGGGGAACTATTCCATAGAGAAAGAAGCAAAAGCAGATTCAAACGCGGAAATCATACTGTGAAGACGGATTTCTGCTCCTGGACGGTTAATCGGCACTTCTCCAAGCTCAAGCCGGGCTCCAATGGTGATGAAGATTGAGCTATGGCGCTTGGGAACTCTGGTTCGTCGCTTTCTCTCTCTAGGAATCGATTTCTCTCTCAAAAACTCAAAACCCTCCAATGTTGGCCTTCTTCTTCCTTTTATCAACTGCCTGGTCGCGATACCCGGTCGAAATACCCGGTCGGGTATTTTGGGTTTCGACCGGGTATTTACAAAACTCACCGTTTCATTTAAGGGGAAAATCCCCGGTCTGTACTCATAATCCCCGACCGGGGATTTAAGGCATTTGCCCGGGCCCCCCTTCTGTTTCTCATGGGTGCCCAAAATGATAAATACCCGGTCGGGTATTTTGCCACCTGACCGGGTATTTTCCTCCTGCAGCCCCCTTAGTCCCAACTCGGCTCCTTTCGACCCAGAACTCGTTTCTCCGCCTCGATTCCAACGCCGGGACCTGAAATATGACATAAACACACACCCTAGCGTGAAATCTGCTTAAAACACTAGAATCCACATCACAAACGGCTTCAGAATAGGGGTGAAAACATGTATAATTATCGGTCTATCACCATACTAAAACAGTTTGTGTACAAATTTGAGAGGCGCATAAGGTGTTTTTTCCTCATGAAGCCGGAGCTTAATGCTATTTTTTATATTTCGCATAAAACAAAATCATAAAATACCAATCGATTTTTGGACCGACTGTTTAAACTTTAAAGGAGTAAAAAAACACCAACCCCATAAACCGCTGTCATTTACACTAAGGGGTCGCTTGGTTTTATTGATAGTTAAAACGATGTATTGTCATCAATGCATGCATAATACTATACATGTATATAAGAGAATTGGTGTATTGTAGTTTACATCGTTTGGTTTCTGTGATAGTTATTGTAGTCTTTAAATAAAGTATATTACTTTTTGGGTGAAATGGCACTTTTACCCTTTGTTTTTAATATAAAAAAGCAAAACACATAAAAAGTTAGGGACATATTTGGAAGAAGAAGAAGAAAACACAACAATCTCCATCACACAATCTCAACGAAAACTTGAGATTTAAATGAGTGATAGTTTGTGTCAAATCAAGCAAACAATGCATGTATTGTTTGCGCAGAAAATTCAAAAAAATGATGCATTGTGGACATGACATGCATTATAACTATCCCAAACAAACTATCACCAAAACCAAACGATCCCTAAAATTAATGCAAACAAAAGAACAATATTCTTTTGTTAAAAAAAAAAGTACACAATTCTGAAAAGAAAAACGACGCCAATCATGGCAACATTCAATTTAAATAGGCAAATTATAGAATCGTCACATTGTTACGTTATTAGCCACAAACTAATATCCATTTAATATCCGAAGTTCTAATCTATTGCCATTTAGTTATTATAACTTTCAGATTATGTAATATAGTTTTTATTCTTTTATAAGTTAGTACTTAATTTCATACATAACTATTCGTTAATTTTCAATCTAGTAGAAAATTTTGCTTCGTTACAAAAAGGTTGAACCATAATTATATCACAATCAGACAACATCATTTATTAGAGTAATCAAAGACAAATTTTGTTTTTGTTTTTTTGTTTTTTTGTTTTTTTTTTTTGCTTCATTTATAGATTCACCTGATATCTATGAGGATTCGCCCACCCGTGCAACTGCGTTCCTTTCTACTCTGTACTCTCACGGGCTTTCTGTTAGACTTGCTTTCGGTAACTTGTTCGCCAACCTTACATAAGCCCATATTATATGTCCTAATAAATAATATTGCAAGAATTCAGTCAGCCTATCCGGCATCCTTACCATTTGAAGTACTTAGGCAGGTAGTTCTCTTCGGTTTAGATAACTTTCCTTCTTTTATAACGACACCCACCGCTCCCAAATTCTATCTGTTTCCATGATACAGGAACAAATACAATAGACAGGCTCAACTACAAACTATATGCGGCTAAAACGAAGATACGTCGACCTATTTGTAATGTATTCTCCACGTTTAAAAAATGAGTTTAATTCCCACTGAGTCGTGAAATGTTCTTTTGTATGATTTGGAGACAATCTTAACAATTTTGGCAAACATCGATCATCATAACAGCTGGACTTATGGTGATCCAAAATAGACAGTAGTCATATAAAAGATGGTTATTATAACCTTTGTGTTCTTTAGCACTAAGGAGATAGGATTCCAAGTCTGATGAATGAATTATAACCACCTGATCAAAGCACGATTAATGGTGATGATAGTCTTGTTGACTATTTGATCGATAGAGGATCGTTTTCGATCGTTCATGTAATTTGAAATGATCATGTGATTGTCTGACATACTTTTTTTTTTTCAAAATTTTGTATTTAAAAATGAGTAGTTTTTATTTTATATTTTTATTTGATAAATATATTACGAGTTTTTAGTGATCCATTTGTAGGGATGGTAAAAATATCCGAAACTGTGGATATCCGTTCGAACCCGGCTTCATCGGGTAGGGTAAAACATGAAACCAAATGAGTTTCACTAGGTACGGTTAAAACCTGAACCCGAAGATTGTGAGTAATGGGTGGGCATGATTTTCTAACTATCCAACCCGAACCCGCCCAATTATACACATGCATATATATTTTGTCTATAAATGATCATTATTTTCTCAACATATTTTATATTTAACATATAAATATAATAGTTTCATGAATTGTGTTGTTTGAAATTAGGGGTTTTTTCCATTCTAGTTGATTATTTTTGTACTTTTCCACTTATATAATGTTAAAATACGCGTAAATGTTAACATGTTAGTTGGAGTTATAAAGAGAAATTATTATCCATGAATAACCGTAGATACTCGAAAACTGAACGTGTATAGACATGATTATAATTTTCTACCCGATTCTTATATGATTATAAGTGAAACCCGAACTATTTTAAATAGAGTAATGGATATGCACTAACCACCCCTACCCAACCCGTTGCCATTTCAGACTTGCTTTCCTACTTTTAACATTTATAGACAAACCACGAATATAACTAACAACAAAACTAATAGATGAAAATTAAGAGTTCATTCATCCGAAGTAACCTTTCCATTTTCTTTCTATAAATATAGGAAAAGGGAGACCTCATTTCTCCAAACATTAGCCCGAAAACCGCATCTCCAAAAGACACCCTCCTACTCCTTTGCTTCCCTGCACAAACCCTAATCACACAGAGCGCATAGTCGAGAAATGGGCAGCCTTGATTCGAACACGCCAACGGACCACGCTGCCGGACAGTTCAGCCCTCTCGACCCCGAAGAATTCCGGCGACAAGCCCACCAGATGGTCGACTTCATAGCCGACTACTACAGAAAAATCGAAACCTACCCGGTCCTCTCCCAGGTCCAGCCCGCCTACCTCCACTCCCAGCTCCCTCAGACCCCGCCGTACCGGCCCGAGCCCATGGACGCCATCATGAAGGACGTCCAGAGCCAGATCATCCCCGGTATCACCCACTGGCTCAGCCCCAACTTCTTCGGCTTCTTCCCCGCCACCGTCAGCACCGCCGCTTTCCTCGGCGAAATGTTGTGCACCTGTTTCAACTCCGTCGGCTTCAACTGGCTCGCCTCCCCGGCCTCCACCGAGCTCGAGATGGTCGTCATGGATTGGCTCGCTCATGCCCTTAAACTCCCCTCCTCCTTCATGTTCTCCGGTAAGTGTCAACCACTAATCAATCCTTAATTTACGCCGGAAAAAATTTAACGGATTGTAAAACTGTATCGAAAGTTATACCGAAAAAAATCAACCATAATACTTTATGTTGAAACTATGGTTCAATCACCGATTTAGACTGTGATATGAGTTTTTCGCTGCTAAACCGCGGGTACGATACGATTTACAAATACTGATTTTTTCTAATGAATGATGCATGGGTCTATTGAACAAAGTAAAGGAAAGTTACCGAAACCGTGAAAAAAGTCGCCTATTGGTGAGTCCAAAGCTGTGGTGTTGTATTTATTTGCTTGCATTCTCTGGGGCGATTTCTCTGAACTTAATCAGGTGTCATAAATTATGATGAATGGACATTTTTTTTTTGTGAACCCAAAGCGTATTATATGCGATTGACTTTGCATGCCAAACAAATGCAAACTTTTAGCTGGCGAGGCAGTGCTGTTGCTTAACAGATGGTCACGTCGCTTTCAGGGACCGGGGGCGGGGTAATACAGAACACAACCAGCGAGGCCGTCCTCGTCACTCTCGTTGCGGCAAGAGATCGAGCACTTGGTGTGCACGGCATCGACTTCCTCTCCAAGCTCGCCGTCTACGCCTCCGATCAGACCCACTCCACCTTCTCCAAGGCCTGCAGGATCGCAGGGATAAACCCGGCCAACATCCGCTCCCTGCCGACGTCCGTCGAGGGCGGTTTCGCCCTCTCCCCGGCGGTTCTCCGGTCAGCGGTGGAGGAAGACCTGGCCGCGGGGTTAATCCCGCTTTATCTCTGCACCACCGTGGGGACCACGTCGACCACGGCCGTCGATCCGATCGGTGCGCTGGCCGACGTGGCGAGGGACTACGGGGTGTGGGTCCACGTCGACTGCGCGTACGGTGGGAGCGCGTGCATCTGCCCCGAGTTTCGGCACCACTTGAACGGGGTCGACCTGGTCGACTCGGTCAGCCTCAGCCCGCACAAGTGGCTGCTCAGCTACCTCGACTGCTGCTGCCTCTGGGTCAAGCAACCCGGTTCGCTGGTTCGGGCGCTGAGCACGAACCCGGAGTATTTGAAAAACAAACCGAGCGAGTCGAGCTCGGTCGTGGACTTCAAGGACTGGCAGGTGGGGACGGGCCGGAGGTTCAAGTCACTCCGGCTCTGGCTCGTGATGCGGAGCTACGGGTTGGCGAACCTTCAGAGCCACATCCGGTCGGACGTCAGGATGGCGAGGATGTTCGAGAGGCTGGTCCGGTCCGACCCGAGGTTCGAGGTCACGGTGCCGCGATTATTTTCGTTGGTATGCTTCCGGTTCGTTCCGAAGCGGGCGAGGGGGCCGGGTCAGATCGAGAGGGCGAACCGGAGGCTGTTGGATTGGGTCAACGGGACGGGTCGGGCTTTCATGACGCACACCGTGGCGGGAGGGAAATTCATGCTGAGGTTTGCGGTGGGAGCTACGCTGACTGAGGAGCGACACGTGCTGGCTGCGTGGAAGTTGATAAAGGAAGGAGCCGATGGGTTGGAGAGGAGTTAGAGAAATTAGTATGGAAGGTTGACTGACTAGAAAAAGTCAAACTACTACATCGTTGGGGGGGAAAAATGAGGGTATATTGTTATTATTATTATCTAATTCGAATTTGACGATAGCTAGAAGATATTGATGCCTCTGTCGAATTGGCGGTTGGATAAAGTATGTATATGTACCCAATATGTAAGCATTCTTCTTTGTTTGGAAAAAAAAATGAACAAAAGAAATACCCAACACGAAGGATTTTTATTCATGCATAATTGGTTTAATTAGTTGTAAGGATAATGATTTATTTTTCATTTGGAGAAGCTCGAAACAATCACTATGTCAGGATAATGTTTTCCTAGAACCAGGCATGCATTGTTAGGATGCTTTGGATTCTCCTTACGCAGTGTGGGACGATCATGTGTGGATTGGAAAATATAGGATCAAAAGTGCTAGTATTTGGACTATACATGCTAGTTAGTGTTAAGTATTAGCGGAAGTAGTGGTAATTTAGGATCAAAACAAAGGAAACAATTAGTATTTAATCACTCACTTTTAGAAAACACTCGAACAAACAATGTGTTATATTTTTGGCTATTGATTTACATACACTCACACGACATAAGCTTTGCTTCCTTCTATTTTTCTATGCTTCTGACACACTCTCGCTACTTCCATTCCATACATCATATATATATATATAACTATAAATGGAAGACACTAGGGCTGGCTATTTGGACCGGGACCGGATGAAAAACCGGAAACCGGACTGTATATCCCGGACCGAGACCGGACCGGGACCGGATAGTAAACAATCCAATCCAATCTTTGGGCTTAGATTTGAGGTAAAAAACCGGATAAAGACCGGATAAGAGAGCTCAACACCCAAAACTTAAGGGTAATTTGCATAAACGGTCACAAACCTTTACACTTAGTACAAAACTTAACCAACTCCTCACCCTTTTAGTCTTTAGGCCACTCAAATTCCCACAATCTCAATATAAAATCAAGACCGAATTGGGACCGGACCGGGTCAAGACCGGACCGGATCAAGACCGGACTGTATCCAATCCAATCTTCGGTCCTTATATTCTCAAAAAACCCGGACTGGACTGGATCAATTTGGGCCAATTTAACCGGACCGGACCGTATAGCCACCCCTAGAAGACACAACTTTAATATTTCACATGACTTCATCTTTATCTTACCATATATCCATGCAGAGACAATCCATGTAATGCAGATTTGAGCATAATAACTACTTGGCCTATGCATTATTTTGCACCATCCACTCTAGTTAAGTTGCAGATGGAACCCTTAACCATAATTGGTCCATTCATATCCATTGGTATGTGTTGTGCATATCATCACCATTATTTGGTGGTTGCTCCTTATCTTCATGTCAAGCTTTAAAGCTTCATATTGATAAGAGATCCTTCAATAATATTAGGCCTACCATGTGAGGTGTTTGGAGTAAACTTTATTGCAAATTACCTTTTAACAGTTCCGGTGGTTCTTGGACTTGGAGGAGAATCCTCAAGCTGCGCTCTGTCATCAAACCTTTTCTGAGCTAGCAAGGCTTTGTCTTGTGCTGGGAGAACTCTCCAATGATGAAGTACTCAGTCACCAGGGTATGCAAAATGTTTCCTGAAATTAGAGAACATTTATTCTTTCAATGTTCCTATGCTTAGGAAATGCTTGGTGATATGCGTTGCAAAACTTTATCATGTAGGGGGACGTGGACTAGTACAGTTGTGGAAGCCAATGTCCTAAGTGAGATGAAAACTGTAAAATACGATGATTGCGGAAACGAAAGAACACGAGGATTTACGTGGTTTCCCCGTTCACAACCGAACGGGACTAGTCCACGGAGAGCTCTACGCTCTCAGAGATGTATATTATTTCTTCTTTTCTCTGTACCTCATCTGCGGCGCATACAGGGAACCAAAAATAAATAGTCCAGCAAGCTTGGTCACCAAGCAACGTAAAGCTAGAGGTAAAGACCTAGGAAAATAAAAAAAGCAGTCCTCAGGAAATAAGTATGTACAAAAGAGCCTCAACACTCCCCCTCAAGCGAAGGAATGGATATCGAGAAGACCGAGCTTGCCAAAGAGGTGATGAAATTGATCAACGCTCAAGCCTTTGGTGAAGATGTCAGCGGGCTGCTCCGCAGTAGGGATCTTTGCCGGAGAAATCTCGCTAGACTGAACACGCTCGCGGACAAAGTGGCAATCCATCTCAACGTGTTTAGTACGCTCATGGAAGACAGGATTGGCCGCGATATGGAGAGCGGCCTGATTATCACAGTACAAGGGAGTGGGACGCGAAGTAGAAACCCCCAAGTCACGCAGTAACCAACGGAGCCAGAGGACTTCACTAACCGTGTTTGCCATCGCACGGTATTCAGCTTCAGCAGACGAACGAGCAACAACTGTCTGCTTCTTGATACGCCAGGAAACCGGTGACGAACCCAACATAATGAAGTAACCTGTGGTCGAACGTCGAGTGAGAGGGCAACCAGCCCAATCTGCATCACAAAATGCTGTCAGAGAAAGAGAACTAGAAGTAGGGAAGAACAAACCGCGACCCGGTGCTCCCTTCAGGTAACGAACAACACGAACTGCAGCATCTTCATGAGCTCGAGTAGGTGACTGCATAGCCTGACTCAAGAGATTAACTGCATAGGAAATGTCCGGTCTGGTAACGGTGAGGTATAAGAGACGCCCCACCAACCGTCGATAGGCAGCAGCATCAAGGGCAGGAGGAGAAGCAGCACGACCAAGATGATGCTGTTGTTCGATGGGTGTGGAGCAAGGTTTAGCTGCAGTCAGACCGATATCAGCAAGGATGTCCAGAACATACTTCCTTTGATTGAGGACAAGACCACGGGCCGAGCGGGCAACCTCAATTCCAAGGAAGTACTTGAGAGGTCCAAGGTCCTTGATAGTAAAACGGTCGTGAAGAAATGCCTTAACACGGGTGATGAAGGACAGGTCATTGCCAGTGAGGATGACATCGTCAACATAGATAAGAGCAACCACAAAACTGGAACCCTGGCGATATGTGAAGAGAGCATGATCAGCACGACTCTGAACAAACTTAAACTCCAATAAAGCCTGAGTGAATTTTTGATACCAATTTCGAGAAGCTTGGCGAAGACCGTAGATAGATTTGTGCAAACGACAAACTCGAGTGTCACCAGGCTGCGAAAAACAGGAGGGACTTTCATGTAAACCTCCTCATCAAGCTCACCATGCAGAAAGGCATTATTAACATCCAATTGATGGATATGCCAACCACGGGTAACTGCAACTGCAAGCAGACAACGAACAGTGACCAGTTTGGCCACAGGAGCGAAGGTGTCGTGGTAGTCGATACCCTCAACTTGAGTAAACCCCTTAGCAACGAGACGCGCTTTATAGCGCTCAACTGAACCATCTGGATTAAACTTGATTTTGAAAACCCATTTGCACTCAATTGCCCGCTTGCCAGGAGGTAAGAAAACAAGAGACCACGTACCATTGGCCTCTAACGCCGAAATCTCGGCCTGCATGGCCACCCGCCAATGATGATAGCGAACAGCCTGATGAAAATAAAATGGCTCATCAACGACCGATACAGCAGCAGCAAAAGCACGATGAGACGGCGACAAACGATGATAGGAGATGTAGTCATCGAGAGGGTAAACAGTTGTGGCCGAATGAGCCTTGCCGCAGGTTCACATCATAATCCTTTAAACGTGTAGAGGGGACACGAACTCGGTCACTCTTCCGAGGTTGGGGAAAACGAGATTCCACCACAGGAATAGCCACGACAGGAGGTTCTTCGGCCGAAGTGCCAGACGCATCACCTGGACTAGAGGGCGACATGTTGGCAGGCGTGGCTGAATCAGTGCGCGACGTAGGAGGAGGCGAGCCAGCTGAAGGAGATGCGGGCTCGGCAGCTGTGGTCTGCGGATCATCCGCATTTGGAGGATGGAGAAACTCGGCCAAATCGGCCAAGTCATGATCAAGTGATGGCGGTGCAAACTGAGGCATGGAAACCAGGGTAGGGGTAAGACGCGATGTATTCGCCATATCCCGGTAAGGAAACACTGATTCCAAGAATCGTACATCACGAGAAGTATATATATGACATTTCTCCAGATCATAAACACGATAGCCACGTTGATTTGATGGATAACCAAGGAAAATACCGGCGCGTCCACGCTCACCAAATTTATGCAAATTATGATGAGTATCCCGGGAGTAAACCAAGCAGCCTAAGCTGCGCAAATGCTCATATGATGGATCTCGATCAAAAAGCAGTTGAAAAGGAGATTTGTTGCCAATGGTGACCAAAGGCATACGGTTGATAAGATAGGCTGCAGTAAGCACACACTCGCCCCAAAACTTTATGGGCAGGTTGGCATGAAAACGCAGGGCACGCGCAGTATCAAGAAGATGTCTATGCTTGCGTTCCACGACACCGTTTTGTTGAGGAGTGTCTGTGCACGAAGTCTGCAGCATAATTCCTTCTTGCTCATAAAAAGAAGTCAACAGATTAGTGGAGAACTCGGGACCATTATCTGCCTGAATGCGACGAACCTGCTTGCCAAACTGTGTGCGAGCAAGGTTGCAGAAAAATAAGAGGAAACGACCAACATCAGACTTATAACGCATTAAGAAGACCCAAACTGCCCGACTATAATCATCCACGATAGTCAAAAAGTAATGAGCTCCGGAAATAGAAGCTGTCTGATAACTGCCCCAAATGTCAACGTGTATGAGCTCAAAACAAGACACTAACTTAATAGTACTGGGTGCAAAGGAGTCTCGTGTCTGTTTTGCTCGAAGACAAGACCGACAAGGTTCTTTATGATGAGCTAAAGAACATGAAATAAATTTCTCCAAAACAGCAAGTTTCGCTGGAGACGGATGACCCAAACGGCTATGCCAAAGCTCCGCATTATCCACAGCCCGTCGAACAGAATGCGCCATAGGATGACCCTGATCAAACAGCCGGAGATAATACAATCCATCCACATGCTTACCCATCCCAATCAGCTTCTTGGAGGGTAAGTCCTGAATGATACAGAAA